GGGGGGGGGGGGTGCAGATGGTGTGGTGTATCTTCACAGATAACACAACCCCTATTTTTTTCTTGTTAAGGAGAATCTAAAAGCTTTACGAATATGCAAGGGGGCCTATAACTATATTATTCAATTTAAGATCAAAGCAAAACCAAATATAAACTCTACTGGAATGTGTGATAGTTTACTGGATGATGTACTCAATTTAAAAAACCCAACACACTAGGAAAAAATAGTCAAAATAGTCGACAGATATTATTTCTTTCGTCCTGTAAGTCATTATAGTTAAATGTACATCTCTTATTCAGATTTGTAAAACAAAATCTAGTCCTCTTGAGCCTCCTGATAGTGCCTCCAGTACTTCAGTCAGTCACATCTATGCCTGGATTAGTATTACTATGCCTGAGTTAAGGTTTTTAGCTACAGCTAAGAACAGACAGCAGGGCTGTGAAACAGAAGAGAGGTATTACTAGGCATTACAGACAGCAAAATTACAACAGAAAGGATAGTGGAACCATCAAGACCAGTTAAAAAGGAAAAAAAGGTCATTACTCCCTGTGGAGTGAAAGTAGCAGGAATCAAGTAGATTTTAAAGAGTCATGAAGTCAGTTGACTGCTTCTATGCTGCCTGAATAGAAATGCCACTGCTCCTCCCAGGAAGCTGATTTTAAAGTTTGGGTACAGCAGGAATCAAATGGGTTGGGGGGGGGGGTCAACTGAACCACTCCTGGATTCACCCCTCCATCCACCTACTGAGTCGGAAATATCAGTTCAGGTTGCAGCTTCTTGTCTATGAGAGGCTCCCGGTTGGGAAGCTCCATGGGAGACAGCTTAGACTCTCACAGCCTATCTGCATTTTGGAGGCATGTACAGGAGAAACACTTCTCTACTTCTCCACACCCAGAACGAGTGTACATAGGAGCAGTGAAAAAAGAAGGATAAAAAAAAGAACACTTAGCCTTGTGCCATGAGGAGAAGGGTGGGAAAGAAGGACAGAGCCCACTGGCATCAGCCACCTGGCCCCAAGGAATAAGCTGAGATGTTCTCAGTTTGCAGTAACACACAGCTGATCTGGCAAGGCGCATGTCAATTAGAAATACAAATAAACACAGGATTCATTCATTATTTGTAAGCCCTTCGGGCCAGGGATGCAGCCCCGCCTCCTCTGTCTGGCTGTCAGCGAATGCTTGTGTGCATGGGATCAAAGGCGTTGCAGGAAGAGTGAGCAAATTCCAACTAACCAATCTTTCAGTGGGATTAAAGCAGGGTAGTTGCTAAGATCAACAAAACAAGGCTGCGAAGGAGGTATCTCAGCATCTGTGGAGACAGCAGCATACACAGACATGTAAAAAGAAAGTTGGAACTGGTTACCAGAGGGATTATGCTTTTCAAAGGTGGCTCCAGGCGATTTGAAGCCTTGTAAGAGAAAACCATGAAGCTGTGCTAAACTGAGCTGCTCAGGGAGGTGGGAGCCGCTCTTCTCACTTTTGGACACAATTTAAGTGGAGGGGTGGGGAGTGGAAAGGGTCCCCTCTTCCTCTTTTTTTTTGATATAACTGCTGAGTGGCCTTAGAGGAAGAGACATTTCTCGTCTCAATCTTATATATCAACTTCCAGATAGTGATACCACAGAAACCACGGGGAGGGAAGTTTGTGAGTGGTGATGGAAAGAAAATATGAAGCAAATCTGGGATGAACAAGAACGGAAGTGGAGCTAGTCCTGAGCTAGGGCACTGGCAATGTGACTCAGAGCCTTCCTTCTCTACTTTGCTAGTTTGACAGAGAGGGTCTGAAAGGCATCACCACGTAAAGGTTGCGGGTCTCCATAAATCATCACCTAAAGGCCATGACTATCCTTAATCCTTGATGTAAGGTCTGCTAGAAGCTGGAGACTGAGGGAAGACTGGCACTGAGTAGCCCTTTGGAAGAACAGGCCTATAGTGGTTTGTGGCTATTATCTAGTAGACAGCTCTCCAAATCATACATGCACCAAATCCTGGCAATACATGGCATTATTTGGCTGTCTAGGCAGTTTCCTCAGTCTAACAACTGAATCAGTCATGGAAACAGAACATCCTTTTAGCCCCTATGCGTGGTCGCCCTAGTACAGGTTGACATACACTGACGAGGCAATGTAGGGAAGACTGGCATCTATACCTAGAATAGCTAGAAAGTTCCCAGGATGTCATTTTAGTCACCCTGCTAAATATATTGTCAAGGGATGCAGTGAGCTGTCTATCAGTATCTGGCAAAATGCAAATCAATCTCTTCACAGCTAAACCTTATCATCCTGAGTAGGAAAAAAAATAAATGTTTGGAAGCTACAGGGTGGGAAGGTCTGGGAGCACAGCATAGCAAACCACATCCCACACTGCACATCTTCAGGAAAGGCACTTGAAAACAGCCCGGGATTGACAGATAGCCCAGTCCTGTCACTAGAGGAATAGACCGAGAATCCAAAATTTGGTGTTCCCTTCTCAGTTCTGCCACTATTTTGGGCAAGCCAGCTCTCCTCTCCTCTCCCCTCCTCCCCTCCCTTCCCCCCTCTTCTCTGTGCCTCATTTTCTTTTGTCCATTAACTGTCTTCTCTGTTTAGGCTGTAAGCACTTTGGGGCTGGAAAGGCCACTATTAATACATTCCCTACAGAACCGGGCAGAACGGTGGTTGTGCTCTTAGGTACAAGAGTAGTACAAACAAGGATTGGGCTGAACAGTCAAGAACAATATCCCTTGGTCCTTCTGATTTAAATTCAGTGGCCCTTTGAGATGCAACATGGGGTGGGCAAGGGAACCCATGGGAACCCTAAGACGCGAATTCAGCCAGTCCCCTTGCACTGTCTCATGCTGAGCTGATACCCCAACCAACGTGAGTTTGTATTCCAGTGTTTGTCTTTCCTCTAGCACCGT